GTGCTACATCGTAGGAACCATTTTCCACAAAAATTCAGCATTATGAGGACCAATGCTACATGCTATGTTCCTCACAAGGGGAACCAATCACAGTCGTAGCTCACACCTGAGATGGATTTGGAATTACATCATCCTCGTTAACGGTCACGAGCTGAGCTCCACCTTGATTTCAAACAGAACACAGCAGTGGAGACGGTTGAAGAAACTCAAGTGGAGAAACCAGTGCACCCATGGCCATATCTCAACTCCATGTTTGAGATTTTAGGACTGAAAAATATTTGTATCAGTTCAAATACCTTCTGTGTTCACCACAGATAAACTACAGYTCTGCATTTAAGAACTCACTTTATTGCATTTTTATGCTGAAGTCTTTACAGGTGGTGAATTTGTAGCAGAGTAGTTCTATGTGTCGATACATCAGGTGGTTTCTGAGAGCTACAAGGTTCTGTAAAATCACTGAAAACAATACGGCTATGTACTGATAAACATTTTCATTTGTACTTTTGAATACTTGAGTATTTTTAAATGCATGCACTTTTTAATACTTAAGTATTTTCAAAAGTAAGTATTTTAGTACTTTAACTTGAGTAGATTTTTGACTGAGTAACTTTTACTTGTACTTGAGTAGATTTGACCATGAGTATCAATACTTTTACTCAAGTACGAGTACTTTGTCCAACACTGGTAAATGGTCAGGGTCAAACAAATTACCAGAAAATGAATGACATCAATCCATGGTCCCCACAGGWTACAAAAACAAACCTGATTAAGATAATATAGGTTATGAACATTACATGTTTATACCACAGGAAGGTTAAAAACAGATACAACACATGTCTCTCCAGGTGCAGCTGAAATGAAATAAATATAAATTATTTTTATTCAGTTTACAGCTTGTACAAAAATCAATCTAAACAATAATGTCACACCCTGGGGACAGTATCTTTGATATAATCCTAAACAAACTTTGTTACAGGGTGGGACACATTGATGGAGACTTGCTGAATCTCTCCCTGTCTTGATGTGGGCGGAGATGGCCCGAGACATGATTGGTCCAATTGACGGTGGGGTTTGAGGCTGGAGGCAGCTTGGGGGCGCGGCGATCGGCTACTGTAAGCTGCAGCTATGGCGTCAATTTAAATGGCCCAAAATGGCTTGGTTAAAACACCCCTAACCAGCCTGTAAAAAAAAATATTGATTTTTTTAAAACTATCTTTTTGCAAGCTGGTTAGGGGTGTTTTAAACAAGCCATATTGTTACACATCCTTTCACATGTATGACATTCAAATTTCGTGCAGATAGCATTGGGTTTGGAATGAGTCCGCAAAATGGACCCAGATCGGAGTCCACTTGCACAGCGGAATGGGTCCGGAACAGATGATGATAACGTGTCTGGATCAGATCTGGCCCAGACCCTATCCGGATCCATTCGTTCCCCACATCATACGGCCCGGATCCGATTTGGATCCGTTCATTCCCCACATCATACGGCCCGGATCCGATTTGGATCCGTTCATTCCCCACATCATACGGCCCGGATCCGATTTGGATCCGTTCATTCCCCACATCATACGGCCCGGATCCGATTTGGATCCGTTCATTCCCCACATCATCCGGCCCGGATTC